GGGGGATGTCAAGCCAGTTGCAGGGGTATAGGGCATTTCCTGATATGGCATGGTCATGGCCTTGAGCTATTAAGGAGGACTTTTCTTTCTGGGAGGTGAATACTGAGCAAGGGGTTACAAAACTGGATTTGATAACCAAAACGTCAACCAAGGGTTTCGGTTCCAGCAAGTGTTCTAATTTTCTAATATCAGATGATAATATTCTCTACTTTAAGAGCTTTATAATCATAACTGTTATTATTGAAAAGCAAATGGACTGCTAACATATTATAGTGAGACTTCTTGTAGTAGCTCCTCTCCCCTCCCTAAAGTTGATTCACTCTAATCAACAGATGAAGAAGATTTTTCTCTTTAAATCAAGAATCCCTAGTCCCTACACATAATCCACAGATATAAATCTCAGTTGAAGATGTATTACAGTGAGGATGCAGATTACCTTTTGGAAATAATTCAAAGAATAGAAGCAACATTTAAGGTTAATGACTAATTTAGTGATTGCTTTAAGGTGATGTTTAAGCTAAGAGCCACATCTAGACTTACCTAACCAAGTCTTAAGAATTGCTTTGGGGGACGCTGGGTGGCTCAGATGGTTAAGCGTCTGCCTTCGGCTCAGGTCACGATCCCAGAGTCCTGGGATCGAGTCCCGCATCGGGCTCCCTGCTAGGCGGGGAGCCTGCTTCTCCCTCTGCCGCTGCCTCTCTCTATCTCTCTCTGACTCTCATGAATAAATAAAAACAAACAAACAAAAAAAGAATTGCTTTGGAATTATTTCTGAATCAATAACACATCAATCCTCTGTCAAAAGCTATAGAGTGCCACTGACTGGCTGTGGGCAAGCACAAGGAAATCTCCGGTAACAGCATTGTGTTGAATTTCTCGTAAGTGCTCCTTGCTTTACAGTTTTTCTCCAACCAAGTCATCCACGAGGTGAATAGGAAGTTCAAATCAACAGGAAACAGTTGCTGACGTCAAAGAGGTCACAGTGGAAAAGCACCCTCATGAGGAAATCTGATTGCACCATGCCTGAACTGGAAACAACTTAAATTTAACCACATTAAGAATGATTACACAAAGGCTTCAAGGAAGAAACAAGGAGAGGGAATCTAATGGCTTCATTTTTTCTTTCTTTGACTCACCATTTTGTGTAGCCCAGAAGACAGCAACTGCTAATCCAATCACTCAGCCACCCCTCTCTCGAGTCCACGGGCAGGATACATCCTACCTGAGCTCAGAGACTAGTCTTTGGGAAGGTGAAATATGTCTCCAATAGAACAAGCCCTTGTTCTCTTTCGAAGCTGGAGGGACACACAGCTCTTTCCAAAGACCAAGTGTTTTCCCAGTAAACGGAACGCACTGGCCATCTCTTGTAATGAAATGTGACAAGGCTCACTGATGTATGTACCAGACTAGGTGATGTGAGGTGATCTAACTTGTAGTTCAACACACGGTGAGGCATCTGAGACAGAAGATCCTTAAAGCATAAGTAAGCAGTCAATATATGATTGGCGATAGAGCAATGTTGGGGCTTAAGTCCTCCCCCTTCCTGGCAGAGCAACGTCTGGTCCACACGCATCTCACCCAGTCTCACTGGGCTGAGCTGCCTTTGTGCACTAGTCTTGTTTTCTATGAAGGACCTGAAATCTTTGGAGGCAGAGCCCAGATCTAAACGATGTATCTCTAATACCACCAAGCTTAGTGCCTGGACCTGGGGAACTAACATGACAGGAGGCCATTTTTGTTTTCTAATACACTTTAAACTAGAACATTAGAAAAGCTGGAACAACTGCCAAGATTAGTTCTATCCATCCATTTTATGTGAGCCAACCGCAAAGAAGTGAAGTACCTTACCAGTAGTTAAAATAGTTTGTGGGATAGTTCAGGAAGAGAAGCAGATCTGCTTGACATATCACTTCATTTCCCTTGATTTATAAAGCTATGGTTTTTCTCTGCTTTTACAAGTAATTGCATGTGCATAGTTCAAATGTAGTTATAAAGAAATACATGGAAAACTGAGGAAAAAATAAATAAAATGAAAATAAATCACCTATAATCCTGACACCCAGAGATAGAAATCCAAATACAAGGAGAAACAAAAATATCTGTGGCTTCTAGGATCCAAGGAACTGGAGATTTCAGGGCAAATAAGAAATTTACAAGGAAGTTTTTAACTAGAATTTCTTTACCCCTTACGTCCTACTTAAACTTGCCACTCTTTAAAGAGAAAAAGAGAACATGAAAAACCCATCCTTCTTTCTTCACTTACATTACATAAGATCTCCTGAAGTACTCTGTCACTAAACTGTGATTTTTTAACAGCTGCATACTATTCCCGGTGCCATTTCTATGAAGTCCGACAATTAGCCAGACTTCGATTAAGTTAATGGAAATAAGAGGATGTGGTATGAATAGTCTACTTTCTATACCATGATAAAGATCATTTTTATTAGCCTGGAAACCTGGAACAGATTGTTGCCAACTGGGCATGGTGTTTTAATTCTGAATTAAACACACAAATCTAAATTCTGAACTTAGATTCACGAGGAAGATACCTTAGGTTATTATTCACTTTTTTAAAAAAGGTTTGATCACTTAAAAATATGCACAATAGGATTCCTTTAAATCATTATTTCACGTGGTACAATTCTGTGTGTCAAGGTTTTGATTTAAGCACTAAATAGAAGAAGGTTTATTTGGGGCGCCTGGGTGGCTCAGTCGTTAAGCATCTGCCTTCAGTTCAGGTCATGATCCCAGGGTCCGGGGATCGAGCCCCGCATCAGGCCCTGTCTCGGTGAGAAGCCTGCTTCTCCCTCTCCCTCTGCCACTCCCCCTGCTTGTGTTCCTGCTCTCGCTCTCTCTCTCTGTCAAATAAATAAGTAAAATCTTAAAAAAAAAAAAAAAAAGGTCTATTAAAGATATTTATGGATTTAGTTTATACAGGGCTATAGGATAAAAAGTAAAAATGCCATCTACGTATTTAGATTATTTTTCATGACATAAGTTCCTAAACTTTGCAACCTCTTAAGGCAAGATTTCATCTCTTCCTATGATCTCTGGGTGAATTAGACAGGTCCGCCGCACAAGAGGAGATTCTGGGTTACAGTTATCTAAATAAACATTTTGCCCAGTTAGAGAAGTAGCAAATCTGGCCAAGAATATTCTCTGTCCACCTAGAGAGGACCCCTGGGAATCTGCTGGCCAAGCATCTGTTCCTTCCTCTGCTCTATGGTGTTGAGGTCCCTGCAGAATTTCCATTTGGGATTCATTCCCTGAGCTATTTTGAGTTTGGATCTTCTAGCACAGCCATGATACGTTCTTCTCTGGCCCTTTAGCTGGGGAATGAGATGTGTTCAAGCAAACGACCCTCCCTTGCCACGAGTCCCTTTCCAACCTTTCTGCACTGCAGGCCAGATACTGATCTTCACCGTCCGTGGAGGAAGAAAGATGCAAACCTAACTACACAGGTAGGGTGACCAAAGTAAAAGAGGCATGGTCTAATAAGATGAGGGCAAAGTAATTACAAATAGATTAAAAGGCTTAGCCAGGGGAGGGGCTATCGTGTTAACCTTGTAGTGGACTTCCAAAGGGCCCTACAAACCCCAAGGACCAGAGCAGGGACTAAGACAACAGCACCAACAATCTCATTCCAGATCCAGTTACAGCTTCAAGTCCTTCGGTGAACTGACTTCATCTGGCACTTGGTTCCTCCACCCATGAAACCACTTCCTTCTGATTCTTCTTTCTGCGACCTTCTTCCACTCTTGCTTAGAATTCCTTTCTCCGCTGTTCTCTCCTCTCCACCTAAGAACACCTACTGAAATATGTTAAATTACACTTTCTACTATACCCAGAGGACACTGAGGACACCAAATCCAATCTCCCATCTGAACCATGATTCTGAGCAACAAACATTTTACCACTAGGTTTCCTGCTAAGTAAGTTCATCATATTCGGATTCCCCCAGGCTCCTAACTGGCCAGAACTCTGGCCACTCCTCCCACTCTCTTACCCAACAAGTCTCATCGATTCCACCTCCTTAGTGTTTCCTTGACTCCACTCCCGTGACCACTGCCTTGGAGCAGGCAGGTCTGACAGGCCACTGTTTCAGCATCCTAACCAGGTCTGCGACCCCCTGGCCTCCTCCTTCTGCAGATGGCCACCACAGAGCGCCTCCCAAAATGCACATCTTACACTGCTCTCTGACTTTAAAACCCTTTCCAGCTCCCTTCACCTCCATGATTGAGGCTTAGCTACTAAGCAGAGGATTAGGACCCATTAGGACTTTGCTTCTTCACTTCCCACATTTCTTCTCCTATAATCCTGCTGCATCAAGTTATTTGGGGTGTCCTGAGCACATCATACATTTTAATCCTCTGTGCCTTTGCACTGCTATTACCTCTGTCTGGGAGGCCCGTTCCCTGTCTTCCGCTCACCCCCTCCATGACTGCAGGGCTCATATTCATCCTCAAAACACAGCTCAGACAGCCCCTCCTGTCTCAGAGCCCTTTCAACCCCTGCAAGGGCCAAGTGATGACTTTCTTCTATCACATGGTTATAGGCATGTGTATTGAAGGTGATCCCTGATTGAAAGCAATCAGAGGGCAAGTCCACACTTTGTTTTTCCCTATGTCTTCAGTCCCTGGCACACAATGTATGCTAAGGACACATTTACTGAATTGAATTAAAAATGCAAGCTAGATAGATTACCATTCAATAGAGAAACAGCCAAGGCGTCTAGTGGCTAGGGTCTACTTTCAATATTTAGAGAGTACTCAGCCCTGAAGATACCATCTAAGGTGTCTGTGACTTTAAGTTGAAAGAGCACTCCCATGTATGGAAAACAAATAAAAGAAAATAGCAAGTGTGCTTCCCCCAAAGCACACTTGGACTGCTACTAGTACATTTTTCTAGGCTGGTTGAGAAATGTTTCTTAAAGCTTTGATTCTCTCTGTTTATAAAATCCAAGTCATATGCATCACACATGGGATGGGAATCTGACTCACAGATAGGCTGGCACCTCTTTCAGTTCTGGGTGGAGACGATTTTCATAAAAAGTGACTGATTCCACACCTTGATGGTAGAACTGAAGCATAATCATTAAATGCCAAAATAAGAGAAGCTGCGCTTTCAATCTCTGGCTTTTAAACATAACCCTTTATAGATATATGCTCACTGAGCTCATCTTTGGCTCCCTCCCTAGCCGCCCCAGCTCTGATACGTCTGTCTTATCGCAGCAGGCTCCACTGCTCAGAGCTGCGGGCAGGGTGCTAACCCGGGCTTCCGCCCAACAGACGCCGTGTGCTTCCACGGCCTCCTCCCAGCCCGGAGCCCGAGCCTGAGTGAATGCCACAGTGCAGCCACTGATAACTGACACAAGCCCCAAAACAGGAACCTTGCTGGTCTACAAACTCCGAAAAAATAAAATAGAAATGCTTTTAATTTTATAAGGAAGGTGTGACACACTTTGCTTCGGCCCCTGTAAAAAGTCAAGTGATCCTCTAGTCCGCTTAACTTCTTAGACCTAGGACAGACCACCTGACATTCAGACAAGGCAGTGGTTTTCAAGCAAGCAGAGCTTCCTCCCCCCAGGGGGCACTTGGTAATGTCTGGAGACATTTTTGGTTGTTACAAGTCGGGAGATGCTACGCACATGTAGAGGTCAGGGATGCCCCTGATCTGACGGTGCATAGGACAGACCCCCATTAGAAAGGATTACCCTGCCCCAAGTGTTAGCAGTGGGCAAATGACATTACATTATGCAAATAAGTGAATTTTTTTTTACTGGAAAGGTTGAAAATGCACCAGGCATTCGGTTGTTCAAACTATTTGACCTGTTGATGAAGGTCAAAGTAGTGGGGATAAAGTTCTGAGCCAGGTGGAAGGGAGCTTCCTGCTTTCAGATCTGTTCTGAAGCCCAAGCACAAGGCAACAGATCAAGTTAAGGAGCAGTTCCTCAGTTCCATAGGCTTCCAGAAGAGAAACTTTGACCCGTTCTCTCGGTCAGCTCTGCTGTATCTGTTCTTGACCTTGTTGGTTATATCGACACACTCTGAACTGCCTTTCACCCACTGGTCAACAGACCCTGGTTTAGAAGGTCTGGGTTTGTTGTGGACACCGGCCAGTCCCCACTTCACAAGCTGATCACAGCTCAGGGCTCCTTGGGAGTGAGGAGGTGACAGGAAGCACAAGGAAGCAGATGAAGGAGCTTCCCATGGTCCACGGCCCAGGAAGGGAACATGTGTTCAGAAGAGGGGGGGAATTTTGCTGGACTGACTTTCCTCCTTTGTTTTGGTTGGGAATTATATATTACATCATTTTAATGTTTAAAATCTCATACACCATGAGAATGGAATTAAGAGACTCTGGGAAAGGTTCCAAGGCTCCCTTCATAACAGCTAAGCCATAAATCATTACAGGCCATCCTAAAGGAGTGGGCAGGAGTGAGCTGGAGACACAGCAGGATCTTTCGCAGTACAAATCAACTACAAGTTGGATGCCTCGCACAGAAAGGAAACAGGAACTCACTGGGTGGCCCAAAGGGAAGACAAGGGCATGCCGAAGCCCTCTAGCAGAGAGGGGAGGGTCTGCTGGTGAGACCCGGCCAAGGTATCAGCTGACAACAGAAGGCAGGAAGAGGAACCCTGCCCCAGAGCAGTCAGTCTTGACGGGCACAGGCACGGGGTTAAGTGGGGGAGCTGGTGTCTCAGCAGCCCCGCGCCGGGGCTGTCCGTGAAGAGACCAGTTTACCCAGCGGGATGAGGATGACTGGACCATGGCAGTGGGGAGCAAGGAAGCAGGCTGGGCTGCAGCCCTCCTGCTGTGCCTCGTGCTTTGGGCCCCCACGCCCAGTAGCGCTACAGGACCTACAGGACCCACGGTAGAGCAGAGGCTGTGCTGACAGCTTAAGCCACCCCCCCACCACTAATCCTCACCAGGTCCTCAATTCACTGCACCCAAGTAAAAATAGGGGTGTGCTTCAAATGCAAATGTAGCTCCCAGACAAGTGCCCTATCCGGCTGTTTTAAGTAACAGGGGCGCAGATATCCTTTTGAATTCGTGTTTTCGGGTTTTTTGGGGGGGTAAATGCCCAATAGTGGACTTATTGGATCATGTGGCATTTCTACTTGTAATGTTTTGAGGAACCACCATACTGTTTTCCACAGTGGCTGCACCGATTGACATTCCCCCTTCTGTGACCAACCCACCGAGGGGGTTGCCAGCTGATTGGGCTGCTTCAGGCCTGCGGACTCCGAAGGAAAGCAGCCGCTCCCGACGGTGTCCTTGCCCAGTTTTGTTCCCTGCTGCCCACCCCCCTCCCCCGCCACCGCGGGGCTTCCAGCAGAGCCTCAAACCTCGAAGGCACTCGGTGCACATGTGCGGAATGAGTAAATACCTCCTCACCTCACCTGCTGGGGGCAACTCTGTAGACTGCCAGGTGGGCTGAGATCACACTGCCAGGCGAGGCTGACCGGTCGCGAGAGGCCCTGGGGAGGTAGCTCCTGGGCTTAGAAAAGATGGACCCAGCTGGGCACTTACCAGTGATGAAGTAACGACAGAGAACTCAAGGGTTTCAAAGCTAGAGTATATTACCGTCTACGGTTTCCACCCAGAGCAGTCAGGTTTTTACACTGCACAATTCTGCGATCGGGGTGGGGTGGACCCCCCTCCAGTCACTCACAGGTGTAGCCTGAGGCCCTGAATGTCCCAGTCAGTCCTGGCAGGAGTCAACCCACCCGCCCAGGGAAACACCTGCAGGTCGCCGCTTGGTGTTGCTTAAAGCTCAGATGCTAGTTGGTTAGCCTTGTAGCTACAAGGTTGGTTACATGTCTGAGGAGACACGGGCACACGGGTAAGATTTCCCCCAGAGCTCAGTGTTCATTTTCAACTACCTCTCCTTTTGTAGCATAATAACCGTATTGAGTCCACACTATCTACCATATCCTGCTATTCCATGGGTATTAATCCTCTCTTCCCAACCAGACTGAGGATTAAGAGGACTGACTGTTTCTCTTGCTAGCACTCAGAGCGATCATGAACGGATAGACTTTTCACTAAACTATTTGGCGAAAGGCCCGTCATCTTCTCCTCCTTGGAGCTAACCCGGGCACTTCAAGCCTCGTGCTCCAACACAGGGCTTTGTTGAGGCCGGGACATCTATAGTCTGGCAGGCTCCCGGGCACAGTCAGGGAAAACCATAACAAAGCACTCACCACCACAAAGCTTCGACAGTCATCGGGAAGGATGGGGCCAATTCTGACCAGGGCATATCTTGGATACACCCAGGGAAATGACACACAATCCATACACCATCTTACCAAACGAGGAGGCGGCAGGTCTCCATGATCCTCAGATCATCAGTGTTGACGACGGCCAGTGACAACAAGGCCAGTTACAACCGAACCACCTCAAATTGAAAAGCATGCCAACTCTTTCAAACCCCTCCGTCACGCCAAGTCTCCTGGCAGTCCTACCCAATTAGGGAGAGCCAAAAGAACAGCACGAACTCCAGCTTCTCCTATTTCCCATTCATTTACATGGCCCTGTTTAGTAGCCACAGAAAGCCCAAGAGGACAGAAGCAAAAGTCCCAAGTGACCGCCCCCGACCCCCGGAAATCCAGAGCCTGGAGATGGTCTATGTGCATTTTGTCCCCAGATGGAACACTGTTAATAAGTTGGGAACATGCCCAACTGGGAAACACCATGTTCTGGCTCATTTTCTATTTTGATCTGAGCCAAAGGCAAACTATAACAAATGACCCATAAACAGATCAAATAGTATTTGTGGTAGGCATTGCTCAGGGAAAGGAGGAAACCTAGTTCTAAACAGATAAGAGGATATATCCTTAGGTGCTTCATAAAAGGCTACAAAACCAGATATTGTAAAACAAAACAAAACAAAAAAAACTACCTTTATTCCTGCCTAATGATGCTATTCTCAGCACACCTTCCAGGGAGAAGACATTTCTATGTGAGGTATTTTTTTTTTTTTTTCTGTGTGAGGTATTTTAAAGGTAATCGCTTGGATTATTAAGCTGGATGACCTGGTTAAGAATCCATGGTCTGACTCTTGCTTGCTGTGTGATCTGGGGCAAGTTATTTAGCCTCTCTGGACCTCTCACAGTTTCCAGATCTTTAAAATGAGATTAATAATATCTATACCACCCTAGATTGCTTTGGGTATTAAATGAGATAGTTCATGGCATAGATGTTCATGAAATGCCAACACGCACAGTTGTGTAGGCACCTGTAACAAATGTAAGCACCTAGAACACACACTAAAGTCTCAACGAATAGTAGCTGCCTTTCCTCTTCACCCGTCCCTTCTACCAAGCGGACACCACTCAGGCTCTAAGAATCCACCAGCTCTCTAAAGGCATTAACGGAGGCCTCTTCAGACCCTTGTCCTTTCTAGCTTTTTGGGCTGCACTTTGCCCTCTCCTCACCTAACCACGGTCCCGGGGTCTCTTCCCCTAGTCCGGAATGTCACTGTAACTCAGAGCGCCACGGGGAACGCCACCCCAGGGGCCCAGTGTGCCTTCTCCTCTAGGCCAGTCTCTGGCCGCAGCTCAGCAGACAAACAGGCTGGCCACTGCTGCCAACTACCCACTCGACACCCAGGAAGGGGAAAGATAGCTGGAGGGCCTGGAACGGGTCAGGGCCCGCGGGGCTGCGTGGGGCCGTGGGGGA